TGAAGCGCGGCAGTCACCCCGGGCATATTACGCATCCATGGCTCGATTCATGCATTAGCACAGCACCTGTGAGTTAAGAGGCGCACGATGGCATCCCCATAAATTGATTACATCAGCGAACCAAAAGATGGAACTCTGTGCCCTGATGGTTCTTTTTTGCCATCTTCATGCCTGCACATACAGGGCCGTAATCGCTCATGTGTGTCATCATTTCTCATGGGTAGTCAAAGTCACTGATGAACGCTCCTCGTGGGACCTCGCTGTTTCTCCTCAACCTTAATGGTCCAAGTAATTGCTCATCATCCACCCAGGGCAGTCATCCTCAACTTAACACACGTGCCTCAAGTATCTTATCGTCTGTCACTTATCCTCACACTCATGCATCTTTGTCATAGCTCATTTTAAGGATCGCCATTTAAAAAGAGGCCTGAATCTGTGTTGAATACTGGCGTGCCACCACTAATTGCCGGGCCAGGGTTGAACATTTAACGGTACAAAGCTCCTCATCGCTGTCAGGCCGAGGCCAAGGCTGCTTTCAAAGGCGTCGCTGGGCGCACGTGACTCGGAGCCACTGCGCCTCCATCCCGTCCGCCGGACGGCCGGCGACCACGGCACCTCCGGCGCCAACCGGTTGCCAGCTCAGAGCGCGGATCTCCATGCATCATCCCCGCCTGCCCATCCCCACGTGGTCGTCTGAGGTTCGAACCGCCGCGGACGATGGCCGGCGCCATGACCCACGTGACCCGCCGCCGCGCGGTCGGCCCGGCCGGAGCGACATCCGGATGGTGCCGGCACAGAAGACGGCCTTCGCTCGAGGTCAGAGCGGTCTCGGCCGGCGAGAGGCGCGAAGGGTGCAGAGGGCGGCCCCACCGCGCCCCGCGGCGGCAGGGGACGCGTGGACGGCTCCCGCTGGGAAATCCGCCCGCTGCCAGCGCCGTGTCGTGAGAGTCGGAGGGCTAAGGAATACATCACGACGGAGCAAGGGGGGGGGGGGGGCTGTTCCTGAGAAGAGGTATCACACGAACTCGCTCTCGACCAGAAGTATTTAAAAAAGGTCGCCCCAACAGCGGTGTGCAGCTGGCAGTTGCACAATGATTGCACGTCCCAAGGTAATGCGCTTTAGACCAGCGAGCAGACGATAGCACATCGCGCACTTTTTTGATCCGAATCATATCCGTCTGAAACACCTCTTGTTTAATGCGAACCCGTTTTGCTTAGCCTTGTGATAGCAGAGGCCACAATTTCCGTGCCCATCTAAGGCGACGGACGCCCCAAAGGTGAGTGGGCTGAGCCCTCTTTGAAGTTGGCTCTTTCCTGACATCATCCTATGGCTAATGTTGAGCTCCCACCAACAGCAGGTGGACCTTATGCTTTCACTAAATCTATGACGTCAGCCTCCTATGGACGGGCGTCGTTCTTCGCGGCGCACTCTCTCTCTCTCTCTCTCTGAAGGAATCGTCCGGCCTTCCAACGACTAACGTGCTCTCGGCGAAGTGAGCTTGTCGTCTCACAACATCGTAGGCTGTATAGATCTCGGCGTGCGAAGTCAGGGATCGACGTTATCCCGCCACGTACGCGTGGCTCTCAGGTTGCAGGCACGCATGTTGAGCGGCACAGGAGGCACGCACCACGCAGTTCCGGAGTCCTCATAACTCCCGCAATGCTCCCGCGTCGCTCGACGGCTACATCTAAATCTCTGCAGCTTGAGACGCCGACACTGCAAGGACGTCGGCTGAGAGCGCCCGGCCCGCTCTGAACGGCGCAAAGCCTGCTACTTATCTGGCCGCAGTGCCGCCGGCGAAGCTGTCTCAACTCATCATGCTTACTGCTGGAACATCTACACTCGTGCTATGTGCACTTGCGCTGAAATGCGGGCTGGGTTATGCTTCGCAGAAGAATAGTTGTGCAAACGAAAACTGTGACCTGTCGAGTCTTTGGCCTAAACGCTGCCATACCCCCCACCCCGCTTACGAGGCGGACCCAGTATAACACGCCGGATCTGGCTCAGCGTGCAGTCTTCCGTCTATCTGCGCATTTTCTGCCGTTCTTCTTTGGTCTCCAATCAAGGTGTAACATGAGTACACAGTGAACGTAAGCTCATGCCATTCAGTCCTCCCGCTCCCCCACTTCCGTTGACCACTCGGCCGTGTGAAGACCGCGGCAACCCCTCTTCAGACGCTCAGCGCCGACCAGCGCGGGATCAGAGCGGCGCTGCCGAGGGAAGCTATACAGCGGGCACTGAAGGTCACGGCGACCCCTCCTCAGACGCTCAGCGCCGACCAGCGCGGGATCAGAGCGGCGCTGCCGAGGGAAGCTATACAGCGGGCACTGAAGGTCACGGCGACCCCTCTTCAGACGCTCAGCGCCGACCAGCGCGGGATAAGAGCGGCGCTGCGAGGGAAGCTATACAGCGGGCATGAAGGTCACGGCTACCCTCTTAGACGGGCGGATCAGGCGGGCACCCATGAGGCTTCGAGACGGCCTCCGCGCCGACCAGCGCGGGATCAGCGCGGCACTGCCCAGGGAGGCTACACAGCGGGCGTTGAAGGTCACGGCGACCCCTCTCAGACGTTCAGCGCCAGCCCAGCGCAGCGCGGCGCCAATGGAAGCTGCGCGGCGGGCGTGTGATGCTACCGGTGCCATTCGACAGGCTTCAGATACCTGATAAACGGTGCAGGGCGCTCCGTTGTTGGCTCTGGAACTGCGTTACGGAAGCGATGAATCTCAGTCGCTTACGAAAATTCCTGCGTTCATTACATGGCACTGCGCATCCTGGCCCAACCACGCTTCGAAACGGCCGGTCCAGGACAAACAATGTCATGTGACCTCGGGGAGATGTGTATATTTGTAATACCCATCGACACAGCAAAATTTATCAGCACCACAGAAGCATGCACCGGCATGAAATCACCACACAGTGTGGCCTCAAAAAGGTGGTTTTGTTGGTGTTATCATTCACATCTCGAAATGTGCGGTCCGCGTAATCACACTCTTCTTCTACGATTCTTCTTCTTCTTCCGACGATTCTCCTTCACTAGCGGTAATCTTTACATCCGTGCATAAGTAATCACACCAACGACACAGACAACAGTCCGAATCATTCTTCCATCTATAGAAAGAGCTCGTCTGAAAAATTTCGCATAACTGCAGCTCTCAACAATTTTCAATAAGTCATGTCGCTAACTCATATCACACAGCACTGTCCTATCACACGGCCTGGACGCATTAGACGCCGTAGCTGGTTGGCAGGCTGCCTTCCCCAGACAGGTGGAACATGCATCCTACCGAAGGTGGGTTCCAGACTCGCAACCCGCCGAGCCCCGAACTTCCCGCTCAACCACACCTAAGTGCCGACTCCAGTGACGACAACTTCCCACAGCTGTATGCGTCGCAACATAAATGACCGGACACTTATTCTTCAGTACAATACCCGGTGATGTATGCCGTACAACCAAGAAATGCGGCATACCCCGCAAACTGTCCGAAAATACACCCATATGTCTGTACAATAAGTGTTTTCACCAGGCGCATTCAATAAGCCAACAGCGCGGGGAATCTAATGGCTTTCTAATACATTTGTTGATGTTTTTAATATTGTACACATACTGTACGTTAGACGTGGACTGGGGAAGACGTGGACGTGGACGAAGTGAAGGGGAACTCAGTGCCAGTGAAACGCACCAGTGCTAGAGTAGTGTGTACGACCAGTGCTTCTGGAAGTACTTGGTAACCATCAAATGGTTCTCCACTTGGTTTCAATTTGGTCCATTTGGTTCGCTTGGTCATGAGCTTCAACGTGCACGAGTGTTCACGTGCACAACTTATTGGAATGAGAATGACGTTTCTTCACATCCACACATCCCCTGTATCTGTATCTGTATCTGTGTCCGGATCGCAGACACCACAACTCCTGAGGTGATTACCTAAATGAAGTTTCTTAATTACAAATCATCGAATCGAGGTCAAAGAAATGAAACCACTGTCTAGCCGGTGTAGGGACCGGCTGGTGATGACGCAGTGTGCCGCTGCAAACGGCTGGATGGAAGAGGCGAAAACACTTTTCGAGGGGAACAGAAACTTCGAAGGGCACTTGAAAGGACGGAAGTGTTGAAAAGAATCACCAGAAACATTTGCAAGATCTAAGGGAAACGACGTGAAAAATACACCTCTCGTTTCGTTCGCCTTATCCTTGCCTGTGCGCCGGTTTATGAAGTCGCTGGTCGGCCCCGTACATACTCTGCATTTGGACAGCATCAGTCAGCAGGTTTGGCGACAGCGCAGATCAAGAACGCCGGTAGTTTTCAGTTACAACCATCGCACCGTCGTGGCTATCTTTAGCGTGGTAAGAATATGAAGGCAGGGCAAAGTCAAGGTAACCATAGGATAATCATGCTCTTCTTGGGCGAAAACTTGGCAGCAGTACGAAAAATAAACTCTCAAAAATCATAGCGCAAGCAACCCTTCACGCCACAACAGGCCACAATACCATCCCGCAAGTGGATGATTACAACTGGATCCCACATGTGGGGTGATTCACCATACTCCTCAACATACTCCAGAGTACCGTGATCACGGCCGGCGGTGAGCGAACAAACGGATCCGCCAATGGAATGCTGGTGTCGTGACGATGTAAAATACCGCTGTCGCATCAAGTTCCGATGGTTGCTAAACAATGCGTATACATGCAAACAAAACGAGACCACCGAAGCTGTACATCATCTCTAATTCAACACTCTATCACTTGAAGGTTAAGGACGCGCGTGGTTCCTTCGATGTCATTGCCGTAAGCGGAACACACCACTTCACCTCCTGCGAAGCAAACCTGCGCGGCACTATTTCTGCGCGCCTGGTCGCATCAGGGCGAGATCCGGATAGCAGCATCACAACACGAAGCCCAACAGCGGCAGCCCGTCACACTTGCCCCGCGCCCGCGCGCCATCCCAGCGCGCCGCTGCGGCCGCCGCCCGGCCGTCGCCCGGGGGCCGCGCCAGCCGCGGCCCCGGCCGTGGGCGGCGACGGTGCCGCGCTGCTGGCGGCGGCTCAGGGCGCAGGCCGCAGACCGCGACAGCTCACGTGGGACCAGCAGCCCTGCGGGAGCGCCGGCGCCGTCACACGCCCGCCCCGCCAGCCGGCGCTCCGATCTCGTGTCAGCGCGGCTCCCGCTGATGAAACACAGGCTTCGCCCGGCATTCACGGTTAGCCGCATGCAACGCGGCTAATGAGCACCCTTTCCCTGGCATTGAGACATACATATTTCAAATGGAATCTTCGATGTGGCGATTTCTTCCTACGGCTAAGCTGCATATTTTAGCAGATATCATCAAACGTTTTTTGCAGGCGAAAATCCTTGTTCTGGCGCCACCACACTAAAACCACCAAGCTTTGGCAAGTTGTTTCCATCCGATCATTTACGGTTAAACGTCTCGATAGCAGCGGATCATATCGAGACCAGACTATGCTGCAGTATTTCACTTCTCACATACACCTCACTTTCTCAGGAAAAGCTGACGTGCTCTGTCACTTAGAGACTGTAGTCTGCCTTGCCTATACTCCAGCCTGCCTGAGATGAACGTGCTATGCCTCACGAGCACACTTCAGTGTTTTGTCCTATGCAGATCTTATATGTTAGGCGGAGAACATGCTCTGTCCCCGTGAGCATGTTCTGTTCCCTAATATCCACCGGTGTCTCCTCTCACCGACACCTCCGCCTGCTAAACCCTCCCGCAATTATCTTACCGAGACTCTGCGTGCTCTGACTCTGATACTCTGAGGATAAGTACGCCTGTCAGGTCCTCCGGTATCCCGTCTGCCAGGCCCTCCGGTGTCTCGCCTTACCGGTACTCCCGTCTGCCAGGCCCTCCGGTGTCTCGCCTTACCGGTACTCCCGTCTGCCAGGCCCTCCGGTGTCCCGCCTTACCGGTACTCCCGTCTGCCAGGCCCTCCGGTGTCCCGCCTTACCGATACTCCCGTCTGCCAGGCCCTCCGGTGTCCCGCCTTACCGATACTCCCGTCTGCCATGCCCTCCGGTGTCTCGCCTTACCGGTACTCCCGTCTGCCAGGCCCTCTGGTGCCTTGTCTTACCGGTACTCCCGTCTGCCAGGCCCTCCGGTGTCTCGCCTTACCGGTACTCCCGTCTGCCAGGCCCTCCGGTGTCTCGCCTTACCGATACTCCCGTCTGCCAGGCCCTCCGGTGTCCCGCCTTACCGATACTCCCGTCTGCCAGGCCCTCCGGTGTCTCGCCTTACCGATACTCCCGTCTGCCAGGCCCTCCGGTGTCCCGCCTTACCGATACTCCCGTCTGCCATGCAGAGCCGAGCGTACTCTCCGGGCAGACGCCCAGGCGCCGCAGCAGCGCGCCGCCGTGCCGCTCCGACACCGCCCATGTCTCGTCCGCGGCGCCGCATGACACGTGGGCCACGTGGTCAGCCACGTGCCGCCAGGCCACGCCTTCGGGGAAGATGGGCAGGATCTCTTGACGCCAGTACAGGCTGCCGGCCGAGAGGCGGGTAAGCGTCAGGAGAGGGAACAAGTGTGTGTGTGTGTGTGTGTGTGTGTGTGTGTGTGTGTGTGTGTGTGTGTGTGTGTGTGTGTGTGTGTGTGCGCGTGCGTGCGTGCGTGCGTGCGTGCGTGCGTGCGTGCGTGCGTGCGTGTGCGTGTGTATGTGTGTATATGTGTATGTATGTATGTATGTATGTATGTATGTATGTATGTATGTATGTATGTATGTGTATGTATGTATGCATGTATGTATACATTATGTATACATGTGTGCATGCATATAGGCATGTATACATGCATTGTTTATGTATGTATGTAAACATGCATTGTTTATGTATGTATACATGCATGTAGGCATGTATACATGTATTGTTTATGTAGGTATGTAAACATGCATTGTTTATGTATGCATGCATGTGCAATGTATGTATGTATGCACGTGTTATGGATGCATACATGCATACATGCATCGCGCACACATGCGCGTGCATATGTATATGTGTGTGTGCGTATGCGTGCGCGTGTGTGTGTGCGTGCATGCATGCATGTATGCATATATGTGTACGTGCGTGTATGTATACATGTATGCATATGTTGTGCATGTGCGTGCGTCGTGCATGCGTATGTGTGTATATGCATGCATGTGCATGCGCGTGTGTGTAGTGCGTACACATGTACACACGCGTACATGTGTACGATGTACATGTGTACGATGGTCGCAACTCGACATCCGAAGCCCAACGTCGCATCCAGAGGAACGAAGGGACTGAGGCATCATCTTGTATGGTCTACAAAACATAGACCTTGTCAGCTTGCTATTCGGGGACGTCTGCTGTGTAATGACCAATACGCGTATACATACATCAAAGTAACAATGTCCACACGGAACGACAACCCACGTAAGTTCGACTTCCAACAACACATCACAACAGCCTGCTCAGCAGCCCGCCTTGCCATTCTGCCGGGAGCCCACGTCACCTCCTGGACGGCTCCCTGGCGGCGTGACCCACCGCCGCCGGCCAGCTCACCTGTTGTTCTCGTCCACAGCCCAGACGGCCGAGTCGCCGGCCGAGATCTGGCGCAGTCTGCGCCCCTCGGGTGCCTCCACGTGCGCCCAGCCGGTGCCTGCGGGCGCGGCGCCAAAGTGGTCAGGACACGGAGTGGGCGCGGCCTGGTCCCCACTAGCGTCTCCAGCTGCGACCGCTCCCCGGGCTGCTGGGGAGGTACGGAGTCCGTGGAGGCCGGCTCCAGACCGGCCACCTGACAGCAGGAGGGCCGCTGCAGAGAAATCCCGCGCCCGTAAGGATATAAGACGGCTTTTTTATTGCAGGTACTCAACGAGGAACACACACCGGTATGATAGCAATAACGAACTAAAACGGCTACAAAAGTTCTACCCTATCGCCCCTCAACCTGTAGTGCGGTCTCCCGTGGCGTCATCAGTCCAGAGTCCGCGTCTAGTGACAACACACAGTTGCTAACTCTTTCACGGCCTTGCTGCCCCGCAGCATTGCTTTCAATTTCACTCAATGGCTCATAACCTTACGACCAATACGTCCGGTACCATCGTTTCCAGTGACTCCGCTGTTCCCCAATGCCTGTTTCCAGTGGCTTCACTAGAAGCAATATAACTGCTTCCAGTGACGTCACCAGCACCGTGTCTGCGACTCCGGTGGCGTCACTGGCCTAACGCTTGCATTCCCTGTTATGTCATCCCCTAATTGTCTGTCTTTCATGTGACTCGATAGCCCAGAGCATGCGTCTCCGATGGCATCGCTCACCAACATCTGAACCCTCTATGACGTCACTAGTTCAACGCAAGCGTAGCGTGTACCGCAACGTCAACAGCTCGGCCTCAGGCTCATCCATTACACCGCTCACCGAGCTCCCGCGCCTTGTATGACGTCACCAGCGCAGCGCCTGCCTTTCCGAGGCGTTCGACGTCCGCCAGCGTGTCCCAATGACGTCACACTCACCGAGCGGCAGGTCGGCGGAGACGCCGTACCGCAGCCGAGCGGTGCCGTCGTGCGCGACGGCCCAGACGCGGCCGTGGCCGCCGCAGCTGACGGCCGCGAACGGCTGGTCCGTGCTGACGGTGCGCCAGCAGCCGCCGCCGCCGGTGCCGTCCGGCCGCGCTTCCACCCGGTGCATGACGTCACCTGCTGACGTCACCGCCCACAGATGCACCTCGCCGAACAGCTCCTGAAGGGCGGCGGGGGAGGGGGAGGGGGTAGACGGAGACAGTTAAACATTATCGCCGCCTCGTGATCTCAGTCGGGGGCAAGGTGTTGAAGGTCACGGCTTGCCGGTGCGGACGCCACATAACTAACTCCCGCCGGAGGACGGCCGAGGTCAGAAGGATGGAGCCTGACGGTGACTACTGTCCACGAGGAAAGTCTATGAAACTCCGTTAATTTACGACATGTAGGCTTTGAAATATCAGACAGATAAACTCGTCCTTCACGTGCTGTCACACCAGGCACACTGATACCTAGATTAATGCTCGTAACCTTTGCAAAACGCGCCCTTTACCGACCATGACATCATGTAAGTTGGTATTTAAATTCATAATTCAGGAACTGGGGTCGTGCGGAGGCCCTAACCATTGTCCCGTGAAAGAGCACTGGCGGGATAGACTGGGGCGTAATCAACAACTTGCGCCCACTTGCAAATTTCACCGCATGTTTGCATGGAAGGCTTTTACAATCCTATGCGATGGATCAGAATGAATCAAAATCCATGCAGCAAGCTATGCTATGCATAGCCTGCATAAGCATGTTTAGCGCAGGCTGCTGCGGCGTCCCGACCCAATAACTCAGCACAGCAATCCAGTCCAGCGGGCCGGTTCTCGCGGAGACCGACGGTAGCATGCCGCACGGCGCCGCCACGCCGCCGCCGCCGGCTCCGCCTGGCTCTCCCGGTCGCCCGCCAGCGGACGTCCCGCGCGGCCGCCGCTTCATTACGCATGAGTTCCGCGGTGCAGCTGAGCCAGCGCGCGGCTCCTCAGCCGCACGGCCGAGCGCCTGTCACGCGTTACTCAACGTCCGAAGAGCTCCGGTAACTCGAGCCGCGCCGACGACATGGCCGCCGCTGTATATCTAATGACGGGATTTATTCCCTGTTAGAAGTCATGGGCCGTTCTAGAGATTGGCCAGCACGCGTCCGGTTCGTGCAGCGTAGGCGGCCGGAGGCAGAGCGCGCGGCACAGGTGCCGTCCGGCCGGTCCCGGGACGGCCCCCACCTGCAGCGAGAGGTCGCGCAGCCTGACGTTCTCCACCTTCTCCCAGGGGCCGCAGGTGCTGAGCTGACACTTGCGGTACCAGCGCCGCCGGCGGACAAAGTCCTGAGCACACGCAGAGCAGCTGTCGGTGGGAGGCGAACCGTGCGCCCTTTCCAGCTTCGCATCACACGACACTTGTTACACTAGGTTAGTCAAGCCATGTTCTGGCTGGCTGATCGGCAAATTAACGCTCAGCAGATGCTTTCAGAGTAAGTTATCCGAAGCCGTAACTTTGAACTATCTTTACAAAAGGAAAACGCAACCGAGAAACCCACAAGCCATACCGTGTAGACAATCCTTTCACACGTGCATGCATTAGAGGATCCCCAGCCGGCTGATCCTGAATTCCTTGGCAAATCGAGTGCACGAGCCGATAGTATCCCCAGCATAAGCCGGGAGCATCGGCCGCGACCCACCTGCAGACCGCGGTGGCCGTGGTAGGACGCCGGGAAGTCCATGGCGTACTGCCAGCCCTCCTCGTCCACACCTCCCGGCGCGTGGAAGTCCACCGACCACGTGGAAACCTGGCCGAGGCGACCAGACGAGGGGAGCAGTCAGATACCGACCGCGACAGCAGCATGAACGCAGCACCGCCCCGGCCTAACTTCACACCCCCGCCCCCCACCCCTCCCCACCCCACCCCGCTCGTACGCAGCATCGGGCGACGTTCATCCAGTGCTACCGTCTCCAAAGCACCGGAGACCACCTCCAGGCCACCAACAGCTAACAGATCGTCATCAATCATCCGGGTGTCAGCTGCCGCGAGGCCGACAGCGTCTCCGACAACCCAGACTGCCGTAGCAGAGCGTTTACCCCTCCCGCTTCCCTTAATCGTGTCATCGCTCACACAGGTGCGGTGTCGCAACAGTAGCGGTGTCTCAGGCGCCGCGCAGACCCATCTCCAGACCACATCCATCGCTCACACGGCGCGCGTCATCGCTCACCCAGGTCCAGTGTCGCGACGGCGGCAGCACGGTGTCCTTGGTGAGCGCCAGCTGGCCGCTCCTGTCGCTCCAGGTCGGCCGGTCGGTGGCCAGACCGTGGTAGGAGAAGCCTGCCGACGGAGACGGCCTCGTCAGTGCGGCCGGCGCCCCCCGGAGGCACGGTCCGCCGCCCCGTCAGCCGCCTGACCCTGGGACGTCGCGTCTCAGACGGCCCGCTGCCGCAGAGCAGCCGCCCCACCCACACCCCAGCCACAGCAGCAGAGGACGCGCCATACGCGACACCGCAAATGGCGGCGTCACGCTGGCGCTGCCGGCGGCTGATGGTCCACCCGGAGATGATGATGATGATGATTGGGGTTTTAGGGCGTGTCGACTTCTAGGGTCATTTTGCGCCCAATGTCCACCCGGAGATGTGTGCACCGAATCACTCGGCGTGATCGCGCCGCACGACGGCAGGGGAGCCGCCGACTGGGAGCGGCAGCACTGCCTACCCGAGATCGGGTTCCACCGCTGGTTCTCGTAAATGTAGAAGTAGCGGGTATCTGTCATGGTGTTCAGCAGGCCGCTTCCCCCGTGTTCTGCGACAGAGACAGATGCCATAAACTGGTCGTATCGCCGGCGATCAACAGTCTGCTGACAAGCCAGCCAGCAGATAAACAAAATAAAACTCGGAACACGATAAGCCGGGAACACGTCCACTGGCTTATGCCGCGATCAAGCTGCACACTGTCACCGGACCCCAAGGTCAAACTGCTGACGTCACGGCGATCTCCAGATCTCCCCGCGTCCGTGCACACAACACGCCTCATCACATGATGCGCCACACCAACAGAAGCGCACCCGTCGCACCTGCGGCGCGCTCTAGCCCTCAAAGGCTGCTCTGACCCGCCCCGCGCCACCCCGTCGCATCGACACCGACGGCGGTTCTGACGCGCCGCGCGCCACCCCGTCGCGTCGACACCGCCTCCTGGCGATGGCCGGCGCGCCGGCGGCCCGCCGCTCCACTGACCGGTCAGCTGCGAGCCGCCGGTGGCAGCGGTGTACACCCAGGGCGTGAGGTCGCAGCCGATGGCCCAGACAACGCCGGCCGGGCTCGTCTCGATCCGTCGCAGGTGGCCGCCCAGCTGGCGCCAGAACAGCTCGGCCGGCGCGCCGGCGGCCTGGCGGCACCGGCCGGCGCCGTCAGCACGACGCCGCGACTTCGGCCGCGCGACGGCGGCGGAGGGCCGTCGCCGAGGCGAGGGTGTGATGGTTGAGGGACGGAGGGGTGCGGGGGCAGTCAGCGCCCGCCGACTCTGAACGCTGATGCGGCGGCCGCGGCAGAGGGACGGGCCCAGACATGGGCGACGGTCGGGAAGGACTGGCCGGTCCGCAGACGGCCGCGGCGGGCTCCACAGCGCGAGGTCAAGGTGACCAAACAATGGAGGTCACAGTGCATCGACACAGACTGCTTGTGCGTCGGTAGTGTGTACAAGTCACTAGTCAGCAGCGCTTGCGATGCCATAAGGAGCGGAACAGATACATTCACACAACATATCCGTAACATCCCAAGCCCTTACAATACACAATACCTACATCTAACACCAGACCAAACCTGTGAGCACCCTATATCCTGCTGCAGACTGACGCGGGCGCTGCCGAGTCAGACGTCCTACAGCCCCACCCGGCGCCGCTGGCCGCCGGCGGGCGGCGCCAGCCCCACTCGCGGCGCCCTGGCTCACCGCGCTGGCGTCGTAGGAGACCTGGGTGACCGTGATGTCGCCCTGCACGGCCAGGTACGCCACGCGTCGACAATCCGTGCGATGCCGGTACAGCGTGCAGAGGCCGGGCGCCAGCACCTGCCGGCGGTATGACGTCACTGGGACGACGCCACCTGACGTCCAGATGCGGCACGCAAGACTGCGTGCCGGCGCGGCCGGGTCACTGCGGTCGTTGGCCAGGCGACGGCTCGCGCTGGACAGGGTGGTCGGCAGAGCGGCGGAGACCTCCGATACAGACACTGCTCCGATCTCTCTGCGCGTGTGTGTGCGTCTGCGTGCGAGGGCGGTGGTCTGCTGGTATCACACGCACCAAGGCAGGTGGCGGTAATGGGGGGTCCCGAGCCTGGTGCCCCGAGCTCGGGTGGGGTTGGGGACCTGAGCTCGGTGCCCCGGGCTCGGGTAGGGGTTGGGGACCTGAGCTCGGTGCCCGGGCTCGGGTGGGGTTGGGGACCTGAGCTCGGTGCCCCGGGCTCGGGTAGGGGTTGGGGGACCTGAGCTCGGTGCCCCGGGCTCGGGTGGGGTTGGGGGACCTGAGCTCGGTGCCCCGGGCTCGGGTGGGGTTGGGGACCTGAGCTCGGTGCCCCGGGCTCGGGTGGGGTTGGGGACCTGAGCTCGGTGCCCCGGGCTCGGGTGGGGTTGGGGACCTGAGCTCGGTGCCCCGGGCTCGGGTGGGGTTGGGGACCTGAGCTCGGTGCCCCGGGCTCGGGTGGGGTTGGGGACCTGAGCTTGGTGTCCCGGGTCCGAGTATTGGGGTGCGTGGGGGTGGGTGAAGGTAGGGTCCCGAGCCCGGCACCCCGGGATCCGGGACACTGGTTCCTTCGGCTGACCGCCAACAAGGCTCAAATAAACATGACCTTCACTATGGCAAGTGGCACAAACAGTCTTTCTGCCTATCGGTCGGATAAGAGGTGCAAGTTGTAGAACATATCGGCTAAAAGACGGCACATAATAGCATGTGCGCTCACGACCATAAACACAGGTTGCAAGCGTCCAGCATTCATGATACATGGCGTTCCGGGAAAAGCGGGCGGGTTTAAATCGTTAACATTTCAGACGTATTTGCATTGCAAAACGAACGATGCATCATAGGAAAGAGCATGTCGTTATCTTGCATCTGACGACTCAGCTCTCAGGGCCCCTCACAGCCTGAGCGATGGAACACGTGCTCGACGTGGCCCACATTTCGCTCTAGTCATTGCACCACCCGATCATTCGCTACTTAAGGGACGACGTAGTGTGTCCCTGGCTGTCTGGCTCTCACAATGCCGCCACACTTATTCCATCACTCCTCTGTGTCACCATTCCTCTACCCTACGGTGATTCTCCTATTCCATTTTTTTAGTTCCACACTGGTTTTCGGGCTCTTTGAACACACTTGCGAGCTCAAATAACCATTAGGGAAGAACTCTGCCGCCCCAAATAGCGAGAATGTGCCAGCTAGTTGTTAAACCCTTGCAAGGAAATTGGTCTTGGTCCAATCGTCCTTCAAACCACCACCACGTCTTCTCCGCCGTACGTGCCGTCGCACCATCATGCCGAGACCACTGGCGGGATACATTTTAGCGCGGACTTTCTTCGAACCCGCCAAAAATTTATGAAGGACTAACTAATACCTTCTAACCGCTACAGCCGCTGAAGTCCTTCGACTGTACTGAAGCCAGGAGGGACCAATGGCGTGTCTACTCTTGATAGCGCATCAGGCGGTGTACTTCTCACTGTGCAGGGGTGCTTCGCGAACGTTAACTCATGAGTTTATTGTCAACTTGAGAGTGCGCCTTGTTGTGTGCGCTTGCGTTGAATCCGCACTGGCCTGGCAGCCAGGAGCTACATCGCGTGCGCGCGTTATGATTGGTTGGCGAGAGCTCCTAGTGCGTGCCCACCTTGGCGCGGGAACAGACTAAACTGACATCCTGAACACTGCGGTCCTGCCACGGCCATCCCCTGAGATATAGTCAATGGAGATATTTGGGAGCCCCTCTCCCCCAACAAAGCCTTTGCTTGGTGAATTCGCTTGCTTTCGTTATTTCCACCGGGATCCCTTCCGCTCCTTTTCGTGGACTGAACTTCCTTTTTATGGCTGCTCTTTGCCATGAACTCCTGAGCAGGGCGCCAAATCGCGTGCCTTGATGGCACTTGTGGCACTAAACTGTTGTTTAGACTCCCTTTGAGTGCACCGACTGTGTTTCGAAGAACTATGCCACTATCTTGCACTTCCCGTCCACTGCGAACCGCGGCATGGTCTCTCGAGAAAGGATGAAACATCAAACCATATAGCATGGGGATGGCCTTTAGAAAAAAGTGGCATGGATTGTGCTGTCGTCGTCGTCGTTGTCTGGAAGACCGCTATTCAAAGACAAAAAATGCCCGTTTTTCGAAACCCCGGTGTAACCGATCTTCGATCAATGATAACGTCGTTCAACTAGTACCCCCAGGGATAATGAAGTTCGTTAACTGTCAGCGTAAGCGTTCTGAACTCACAATGTCGAAAAACCAGGAGTTCAAGGCCAACAGGCTCAAATCCAGTGCCTCCCGGCGAGGCGTAACGGTACCTGTATGACGCTGGGAAGCAGCCGCTACCGTTGCATAACACCAATCACCCGCCCCCACCCCGTCCTGTGCCGCTCCCGCAGCCCACAGATGATCTGGTCGGCTAATCCTCCGTGATATACCAGTAGAGGGGAGGGGACCGCCGCCCCGTTGCGTAACACTGATCGATAAGCACACTCGGCCGTTACGGCCCCCGCGGTCCTGTAACGGCCGAGCAGCCCGGGTGCGGTCCCGTCGGCCAATCCTAGGCCGTGCCAGACGACTGTCCGCTCCTGCGGCCGATTTTCGGTCGACTGGCGGGCTTGTGGGCAGGTGGTCGACATGTCTGACATGGCGCGCCGTGATTTATCGCGAGGTCCGTCCATGCACGGCGTCGCTGACAGCAGGCCCGGCAGATGAGCCACCGGCAACATTCATCCTCATGACCCATGCGGAATAAGACGGCAGCGCATTTCAGGTAAAACCAATACCATGACTAAGAGACCCGTACAAAAAAAGATGGATGCTTGCATGACAATTAAGCTGTTGGGAGAAAGAATGCGCGAAAGGAGCGCGCGTCCTTCGCTTACATCCGCTTCGGGGAGACGTTTCAAACGCTAGCGCATTCATTCGCGCAAACTTCAAAGCCACTTCCTTGTGCAAAGACCTTTCACCGAGCAAAACGTGGGCGACTTGTTGGTTGCAAAGAAGTACACCAGGGGTCCGCGCTGCGGGCCAGAGGGGCCAGATACCCACCTTGCTGATGATGACTAGAGCTCTAGGATACGCCGATAGCCCCACTCATACAGCGCCCGCCAGGCGACTCCTTGTCATATGCCTCCACCGCCCAGCAGCCACCCCCACCATGGAGTGCAGGGCTGCCGCGGCACCGGTCGGACGGCGCCCGCTGACCGACCTTGAAGTGGTCGCGCTGGCAGATGATGTGCAGCTCTCCGTGGGAGCCGGGCCGGAACGGCTGCTCGCCGGCGCGCTCCTCCCGGCCCCAGACCTGCTTCAGTAACGAGTTGCGCACGACCGCCTGCGGAGGGAGGCGCGCCGGATGAGCCGCGCACAGTGCCTCGAGTCGGGGGAGCAGGTGACTCGGAGCAACGTGGACCATCGGACTTCAGTGCCACTGAAGGCTAGCGAGAATAACAAAGCTGCATTCGAGCAAACAAAGTCCAGGCACACAGCATGACCGGTCACACGGTGTGCGCTTATCGATCAAAGCCGGCGGTTAGGCCACATCGGATAAGCAGTTCAGTGAAACGGCTATGCTCCCCCTTCCCCCCCCCCCCCCCCCCCCCCATCCACGCCGTCGCCGCCATCCCGACGATCCACCCTCCCTGTCCACCGCTACTCAGAGGCCGCAAGGATGCCCGAACGAGCCAGCCCCGCCAGCGGAGCGGAGCGGCTCCCAGCCAGCCAGCCAGCCAGCCCGTCCGTCTGTCTGCCCCGGGCCGTACGTTCTGCTGGATGCGCGGGTTGAAGTGGAGTGCGACGTCCGTGCCCTGGGCGCCGCTAACGTGCTTGCCCGTCATCAGGTTCACGAAGAAGCCGCTGCGGCACAGCCGGGCCACCGTGTCAGCGCTTCGCACACCAGTCGCACGACCATTCTGTACCTCCCCAACACGTGTGCCACAGAATACGACAGCAGGCGCCGACATCGACACGGCGCCTATCCGCCAGCGGTCCGCCGGCGCGGGCGGTGCGGAGCATGGCACGGCGGGGAGCATGGCATGGCGGGGAGCGTGGGACGGCGGGGAACATGGCACGGCGGCAGACGGACAGCGGAGACAGCGGTCCGCCGGCGCGGGCGGCGAGGAGCGTGGGACGGCGGGGAGCGTGGCACGGCGGGGAGTGTGGCACGGCAGGCGAACAGCGGAGAGTGGTCCGCTGGGGCGGGCCGCGGGGAGCGTGGCACAGCGGGGAGCGTGGGACGGCGGGGAGCGTGGCACGGCGGGGAGCGTCGCACGGCAGGCGAACAGCGGAGACAACGGTCCGCCGACGCGGGCGGCGCTCGGCGGGCCGAGGCGGCCACGCACCCGGAGCCGGCCGGCAGGCTGTACTGGATGACGAGACTGCAGCCGTCCGTGAAGCCACGCTCCAGCTTGCGCAGCAGCGGCAGCGCGCAGCCGCCCGAGTCGACAAGCAGCTGATGGCCCGCCAGCTGTCGGAGGCACGCTGTCAGGTGACGTCACTGCGCCGGCTCAGGCTGGAGCGCGGCTCAGCCGGCGCTCGGGGTGTGCCAGCTTTTGGAAGGCCGCGCGCGAGCTGTGGTGGCGGGGATTAGTGAATGTCACCCCACTATCCGAACGTCGACATTAACCGTAAACCGTTTGAAGGTCGGACAGAGGATACGAAAAACGGTTATCATACCCGCAAACGAGACAAGCAAAACGACTTTCACGCTACAAAACACCGCGAAGTGTCTCCGGCCGTAAATCACACAGGACAGTGATACCGTAAATCACTTAAGACATCGACCACAACGCAGCGACTGTGGGCTGTTACACCCGTGGAAAGCCATCGATAGCGGCGAAAACATTTGCTCCGGGGTCGCTACGGGGGCGGGGGGGGGGGGGGAGGGCTCCGTGGTTAATAGGGGGAGGCAGAGCCGGGTCGTGGCGGATCACCCACCGCCGCGCGCGTCTCGGTAGCCAGCTCCTGCTCCACGGAGGTCAGCTGCTGGTCACTGACCAGCACGTCGCCCCGGCCCGAGGTGGCCCAGAGCGCGGCGGCGCTTGGGGCGCCATCTATCCGCCGCAGACGCACACAGGCTGCCGGCAGATGGGCGCGTGCGTAGGTCAAACATTCCGCCGACCTGCTCACGTAGTTTGTCACAAAACCTGGCCATAAGCTAACGGCTCGAGCCACAAAAAACTAGTTACAGCTGTCACCAACCTGACCCCTGTTATTCAACCACCCGACAAACTCACGCAGGTCAGTCACCTGCAACGAACACGAGGGAGCGTCTCAGCGTGCTGGGGCGCTCCAAAGAACAAATGTCTGGGTTGTTCCGTTCAGCCTTGGCAGGTTCGAGAAAAATTTTGCAAAAAAAGCATCGGCCAAGGTCCGAAGGAGTCGGCGGGAATTGAGCGAAACTCCGCGACAAATTCTTGTCACCTGATCAGCACTGCCACAAGATAAGCCTGACCACGGACGCCGCTACCTTGGCTTTACAAATCACCGGTCCCCCTCCCCGCCCCGCACCCCACCGGGACACTAACGATTATTTGGAAGTACTGCGGGACGAGAGCCTGTCGCCGCCATCAGCAGTGTGGCGACTGGGGACGAAGGGCGCGGCGGCTCCGGCGGGGGGTGACCATAACCAGCCAGGCTAGGCCGATCTGGGGCCCGTTACCGGCTTAACGCGCCGTGCAGGATCACAAACCACAAGTCACCTGCCCTTCTCGGGAAAATCGACTGTAATCCCCCCTGCAATTCTAGTTTTTCATCCATAACGAACCACGTGGTGAAGTGCAAAAGTTGATAAACCTGTGATGCATCCCTGATATCTGGCAATAATGACACATAATCCAGCTGATGTCTCATGACCATGGATTTCCTGACCTGAATGGCGTCTAAAAAACGCTACTATCAAACTGGCCTCCAAGACCCCTAACACGCATCATGAGGCGCTGGCATGCGCCTCATGATGTCGACAGTTCAAACTTCTGCACATTGCGCTCTCACTTGGTGGAAACTTGCGTAACTTGTTCGGGAATTTACAGTTCCCTTATGTTAAGGAATGGATATCAAGATCGAGACGAAATCGGTCGCTGGCGCGTATCTAATTTTTTTAATTTGGGCGCCTACCGAAATGAGCAGAATAACAGCATTATATGCATATATCCATTGGATTACATGTTCCAAACCATAATGTACATACTGAGCACATTACAAATACCATACAGCATGTCAGGCACCCACAGTAGCTCGTTGGCTGAGCCAATACTCGCGTCATCACGCCATTACAATTCGGTTATTAGCCGCCGCGTAAAACCACAAATATGCAAAACATGCTCTGCAAACTTATTGTTGGTCAAGATGAATCAACAGAATGCAGTGTGAATTGAAATCAGCAGTCTGCCATCCCCACGGCGGCATTTTTCGTCCGACCGACACGGAACGTCCAGCTGGCGGCTGGCCAGTGCGTGTCAACCAGTGGCGGTCGTGTCGCAGCACTGCACGGCACCCAAGCCCTTCCGCAGTCCTGTTCACCAATCATCCCGGGGCAGTGTGATGACCCGGATCAGCCCCCCTTCGGTGATGGGTTCAGGGCCCATGCAGCAGGGGCTTTCCTTAGCAGGCGCTCTGAGCCCACGATCAGCCATCCGACCACCACGCAAGACATGTCTACTAAAAACGAAAAAATAATGCAGGTTGCACGGCACTGCAAAGTCAAAAATAAATAACAATGTAATGCATGCACTAAGCCTCGTATGAAAATCGGATTGCAAATCTGTGGGATCTTCAGAGGTTACACAGTAACACAGGTCTCAAAGTGCCGCATTGTAATCCTCCTGACCACTGTGTGCTGGTACGCCAGAAAACCAACGAATCTGGGACTTTATGGCGATTTTCACACTTACAAAAGCGGCCGGTGACACTTGTTATCCTGATGCCTACCCATAGCGGGTGAAGCCCGAACACACAAGTCGGCAGAAACAGAGACCGACTGCCGGAGAGATGGACAAAACCAGCTTGTCACCACGGTCCCAATCACGCCAGCTCAGCGTCTTCAAAAGCTCAGGGGTTCTTCGCCTTTTCGCTGTTGGCTAGTTTTACCTACGCATTAAATGCACAATTTGTTTTAGCCTGTACTTTAACCTGAATTTATTTCTGTAATTACCCTCTTTTCTTTTCCTGCTGCTCAATTGCTATTTCGCCCATTTGCGAGTACGGCACAAATCAGCACGTCTGCCAAGACGTCCACTCGCTGTGGCATCCCTGGCGGCCAAGATTGCCGTCCGTGTCTGCGCCTCCCAGCCGTGTGCCGTGTGTCCTCTGCTGGGCGCCGCCGGCACCAGCGAGCTCCATGAACATCACCGGCCCTAGAGACCAGGCGAGCCGAGCTGAGCCGAGACGAGACGAGACGGGACAGGTCAGGCCGTACCTGTCTGAATGGTATCGATCCAGTCCTCGACCTCAGACTCCTCCGCGAAGCTGAGCTTCATCGCCTGTCGCTGCTGTAGTCTGTCCGGCGTGTGCACCACCAGCGACGCCTGGTGGCGCGACTCGGAACTGTCCAGCACCGCCGACACCTCCGACAGGCAGACGCTGGCCTGCGACGCGGGGCACGCCGTCAGCCGCTCGGCCAAGGTCACGGCGATGCCAGTGGCCGCGCGGGCAGACGCGCTCCCTTTCAGGCCCAGACTCGTGGCACACAGATTCGTGGTGTTTTGGCAACAAACAGAGCGTGCCAGGGCGTCGTAGACGTCAACCAAAGACACCCCTACTCCGCCAAGTTTGCCTTTCCTTTCGCTGTCTACGCCCGCCTCTGGACGGCACCTGCGGCCCGGCCACCCGGCTCGGTCGAGCCCGCACCGCCCCGGCGCCGCTACTTTACCTCCCCTGCCCTCCCCTGCCCCCGGAGCTCAGCCGGGCCCGTACCGCCTTGGCTCCGCTGCCATGTCTCCCCTGCCCTGTTGTATCCCAGGGCTGAGTGGAGCCCGTACCGCCTTGGCGCCGCTGCTGTACCTCCCCTGCCCTGTTGTACACCGGGGTTCAGTCGGGCCCGTACCGCCTTGGAGCCGCTGCCGTGTCTCCCCTGCCCTGTTGTACCCCGGAGTTCAGCCGGGCCCGTACCGCCTTGGCGCCGCTGCTGTACCTCCCCATGTCCTGCTGTACCCCGAGGTTCAGTCGGGCCCGTACCGCCCTGGCGCCGCTGCTGTACCTCCCCTGCGCTGTTGTACCCCGTGGTTCAGCCGGGCCCGTACCGCCTTGGCGCCGCTGCTGTAGACGCTGAGCTGGCCGGACTCGACCTCGGCGCCGGCCGTGCCGGACTGCTCCAGCTCCAGCACGGCCGCCTGCCAGCCGCGCGCCGGCGCCTCCGACCACCAGCGACACTTGGCCGTCTGCACCCACGAGCTCCTGCGCGGCCCCGCAGCAGCGGCCGTCACTTCGCGGCCAGACAGAACGGACCAATGCGCCGATGACGGATTCGAACGGCAGACAACCCACACGTGACTTGGGGATTAAAATAACGCTTCGGACTAGCCACACACCACACATCGGATTTGTTGGCTCTTCTTTGCTACATGTTGTCATGGTTAATCCACAAACCAGAACAGCATGTCAGCATGCTGGCACGTCACGCATCAGACTTGTTCATTCGTGTGTCGTCTCATCCATCAGGCGCCCCATTCCCAGGAGGCCAGCTCACCTCTCGACGGCCTCGTCATACACTCTGAAGGGCTGCAGCTGTTCGTTCCGCTTCCGCAGCTGCTCCCGCACCGTCTGTCGCCAGAGCTCCTGCGGCCGCTCCCCGGCCGGCGAGCCCGAGAACCTGGCGGCGGCCGGAGCAGCCGTCGCGGCACTGAGGGCATCCGCCAGCCGCGCACGAGGCCGCCGCAGCCGGACAGACCTTGCCGCGCGACCGAGCACGGCAGCACGGCAGCTGCCGATCTCTCGCCAAGTGTCGCACATGCACGCAGACATGCACCAAATAGGGGGCCGACAACTCAGCTGGGTAGGCCACCCGGCCATCCAGGTAACGGGCGTTCAGGAGGAGTCTGACTAACAGGACGTAAATGGCGGGCGCTTCTTCACCAGAATAGACAAATCAACCGAACAAGGCAGAGTTGAACCTATCCCGCCCCTCCCCCTCCGTCTCCGTCTCCGTCTCCGTCTCCGTCTCCGTCTCCGTCTCCGTCTCCGTCTCCCGTCTCGTCTCCGTCTCCGTCTCCGTCTCGTCTCCTTCCCCGTCTCCGTCGAGACACTCGTCCGCGGTGGAATCTCACCAGTGCCCCAGAGAGCAGCACAGGCGCAGTCCCGGCTCACTGGTGTGGCACCAGCCGGCAGTACCAGCCGGCCAGGGCCCGAGCGTCACAGCCTGGCCGCCGGCGGCGCAGCTCTCACCAGGGCGGCGGCCGGAGAGGGTTGATGCTGCAGCCGCCGGCCGCTACGCAGCTCCAGCCGAGCCTTTCTGGCGCGCCGGCCGCCGAGAACGGCGCCGGCTCGTCCTCGTCCAGACGCAGCAGGCGTAGGCTGGCCGCGTCGCCGCCGCCTGCGGACGCGGCGGTCGCCTCAGCGCGGCTCAGCAGGTGGCCAGGCGTCGGCTCCGGTGGTGGGGCCCACGCTCGGGCCCTCAGGTCTTTGGCGGAGGGGAGCCACGGGTGCTGGGTGTGGCATGACACCAGCGCTGGTGTTGTTTGTTTGGTTTAAGGTTGCGCTTTCGCCATCGGCCACTTCGCATCTATGGGGCTGATGTGACAGGACAGGCACACACAAATGCGGAGCGGCGTGGATTACACTCCAAAACACGGCCGGCTCCCAGAAACACCGCCAAATTCCGAGATATTTGGGTCGTTTGGAAACAGCCTAGCTCATGCGACACTGCGTGAGAACATCAATGGCGCAGAAATCCCTCGTCTGTTTCTGCAGCAGCATCTATCAAGTCGTTTACGCCGTCACTGGGAGACCAGAAACGCCTGGCACACGTTATCCCGCGCCACGAGGACGGACCTGGCGCTCGCGAACTGTACGCTTATAAGTATACGGGAAGTGCACAAGCCATACTTAACCAGACCTAACAGACAAGACCTAACATCATGCAAGACCTAACATCATACGCCATGATACTGTGTACAAACACATGCATGCAGATCGGCATGACTGAGCTTCTCGCAGCATAATTAACTTCCCGATAACTTGGCGGTTTGGTAGCTGACTGGAAGCGTATCGCCACCATCCTTCAGAATAGCCCCCACCAAGACACCCTGCAGAGCTTTATAAAGTCGTCTCTAATGAGCTATTGTTACTGTCACTAAGCTGATGGACCAGCCATATCTAGCGGACAGCGGCACCCTGCCAGTCAGCGGCCGCGTCAGTACCGGGCTCCGCCTCACCTGGCGCTGCCGAGCCGCCGCGCTCGGCCGGGCATTCCCTCAGCGGCGGCCCGTCACCTGCCGGTGGCGCTCCGCTGCCGCCCGCCGCCGGCTCCTCCGGCGACGCGGCCGCCGGCAGAGGCGGGAGGTCGGCCGCACCGTCCTGCCGCACACGGGTGTCACGGCGGTCACACGGGTCGTCACGGTGGTCACACCAGCTGTCACGGTGGTCACATGAGCCGTCACGGCGGTCACATGAGCCGTCACGGTGGTCACACGGGCCGTCACGGTGGTCACGCGGAGCGGCAGCCGCTGCGTCCACGAGCTGCCGTCCCGATACACGGCAGGCCAGCGCGGTCACCGTCTCCAGGGATCGCAGCAGCGCGAGCGACCACGAATTCTTCAACAGCCACCCTTCGTTCGGCCGGAAACGTGTCAGCGTACAGTACGTGCCGCGGCAACACGAGACCGGCGTCGGCTCGTCGGCCACCCACGTAGCGACGAGTCATGATTCGCATCGCAGATGCCTTGACTCTCCCTTTCCCTCTCGTGACTGACGACCCGAACCAACTCAGCTCGGTTAGGGGCGCTCCAGCATGCCGTACCGGCGGTGGATGACATGTCGTGCCCGTGTCGGCTACCAACCCCTCCCCTCCCCCCCCCCCCCCCCCCCGCTGCGTAGCAACCTGGGCAGCCGCACCTGATCCTCGGTGGTGCGGCTGGACGTGTCCGAGAGTGAGAGGGCGCTGGCGGCGCGGCTGGGAGCGGCCGACGGCGGCGGCGCCACTGTCAACGCGCGCCACGCGCGGCCCGTCAGCTCACCGGACGTCACGTGACTGCGCAGGTACAGGCCGCCGTCCGTGCCCAGGGTCAACACCTGGCCGGCAGAGAAGCGCAAACTGCGGCACGCGGGCTAGGAACGGGGGGGGGGGGGCTGACGTGGTCGTCAGGGGCGCAGGAAAGTCCACCTCGCCGCTGCGGACAACTGGCACTGGAGCACACACACACGGCGTGTCACTGCGAGACAGCGGTCTGCAACGTGCTATCGCATCAACACTGAAGCTCCAACGAGTCTGGCTCTCTGAAGCTCCAACGAGTCTGGCTCACTGAAGCTCCAACGAATCTGGCTCACTGAAGCTCCAACGAGTCTGGCTCACTGAAGCTCCAACGAGTCTGGCTCACTGAAGCTCCAACGAGTCTGGCTCACTGACGTTCCAACGAATCTGGCTCACTGACGCTCCAACGAACCTGGCTCACTGACGCGCCAACGAGTCTGGCTCACTGAAGCTCCAACGAGTCTGGCTCACTCACAGCGTTCGTGCTGAATGTGGGACGAGTCCGGGGGATAAAACTTCGTTGCAGAAAAGCACTTTAAAACGCTAAGCTACATTTAGAAAGCTAACAGATGCGCCCTTCACGGAACTTCTACCACAGGAAACACAGGCACTACGAATGTTTCCATCGTCATCCAACTAACTCGCACCGAGCTCCGAGCATCCCTCCCTGCTGCCTGTTCAGCACGCCGACGCCCCGAGCCGCTGCAGGCCGTACCTGATTGCTGAGCCCGACCGAGACAGAGGCCATGCTGCCCACCATCTCCAGCCAGCCGGTGCCGCGCGCCAGCGTGGTGTTCTCGCACATCTCGCGTCCCTGGCGACACGCACGGCTCCCGTCAGCCTCCCAGCGGCGGCGGCGGCGGCGGCGGCGGCGGGACTCTCAGCGCCACCTGGCTGCTCGGAGGCTTCGACGTCCGGCTCTCGGAGTCTGAGTACATTCACAGACGGCCGTTGTCCTCGGCCACGTGTGGTGGGCGGCACGGCGAGATGGTGCTGTGCTCGTGTCTTTCGGGTCGTACGACATTTGCTAGCCGGTGCCAGCAGCACCTCCTTCAGTGCACACAGAATGATGCCACTTTCAGTCACCAGGCCAGCAAAGCGCAAGTCATCACACCGACCGACCTTAACGCCCTTGCGGAAGAAGACGCGCTTGTCCCTGGAGACAGCCCAGACGCAGTCGTCGCCCACGCTGACCTGCTCCAGCTGCACGCCTGGTGGTGGCAGCACTGGACACCACTCCGTGCCTGGGGAGCGTCCGGGCAGCGGGGTCACTCCGCTGCCTGAGACGGCAGGCAGGCTGTGACGTGTCACATCCCTCCTACAGTGAGTGTGTCGAGCGTCACCCCTTCTGATGTGGTGGGAGACACTTCACACACTCCGGAGTACGGCTGCGTTTTCGCTTCAACGGTAGCGAGCGCCCCAGAGTTGTTGAAGGTGCTCAACTTCTCCAACTTTCATGACAAAGTCCCTCCCGTGACAGACCGTATCGCAGCGGCGCGTTGTGTGGCCCCACGCCGTCGACATCGCACCACCGCCGCACCACATAGCAAACGGCACCGGGTCCGCGGCGGCGCGTCGGCGCTCTCGGCCGGGGGCGCCGGCGACAACTGACCGTGTGGCGTGTCGCGACACATGCCGGTGCGCACCAGGGCGGCGCCCTCCCATGTGACGGCCCAGGTCAGGCCGCTGGGGCCGCAGGCGATCTGGCGCGCCTCGCCGCCCTGCGCGCTCGGCACGTGCACCCAGCCGTCGCCCTCCGGCGACAGCCAGCTCACGTTCGAGCGGTAGATGATCTGTGGGGAGCCGGCACCGGCAAGAGATCAGCACGAGGCGAGCGGGGCGAGCACCTGACAATTGCTGACGATCTTCCTTTAATGAGCTTTGTGATCAACAGAGAAAGTAAAGGGGTGATCGCACGCGACTGGCAGTTTATCGCGTTTGACAAGTTGGTCAACTCGCCACTCTTGTGCGTGAGGAGAAGAGTTTTTGAGCGTGAGGAGCGCGTTCTAACCTCAAAACGACGTTGGCGGTGGCGACCTTCACTGCAACTACGGAGGCAAGAAACCACGGCCACCACACCATCCGTCCGCCATCGTCCACCCCCTGGAGTTCGGACGGCCGACGCCTGGCCTGCTGGCGGGATCCGTCGGCCCGCACCGCCGCGCCGACCCCGCGGGGAATGCGCACGCTCACCCGACCGCGGATGGTGACCGCCCAGACCATGAGGTTGTCGGCCTCCCAGCCCGGCAGCTCGGCTCCGCCCACGGCCACATCCACGAACGGCTCCTCCACGGCGTCCTGCGGCAGAGGCCGGTGGCGGAGCTCAAACAGCCGGCGGCCTCAGACAGGCTGCCGTACCTCAACCGACGCACAACAGCTCACACCGGCTGGTGACGCAACTCAACTGACAGGAGCGGCCACAGTTGGCAGGTGACTGACGGCAGCCAGCTCAGACCGGCTAGTGACATGCGGATAGACAGCACCTCCGCCTCACGGCCGTCCGCTCGCTCACAAGATCACCCCCCTCACCCGCTCACGAGGGAACTGTGTACCGTCATCACAGAGCACAGCTCGGTACAACAACGTCCCCAGAGTACCGACCGTGCAGGGAAGCCGCGAGCTGACCGGCCCCCGAGAGCGCCGCCCACATACCCAGAGCACCGACGGCGCAGGGACGCCGCGAGCTGACCAGCCCCGAGAGCGCCGCCCACGTTCCCAGAGCACCGACGGCACAGGGACGCCGCGAGCTGACCAGCCCCGAGAGCGCCACCCATGTTCCCAGGGCACCGACGGCACAGGGAGGCCGCGAGCTGACCGGCCCCCGAGAGCGGCCGCCCACGTTCCCAGAGCACCGACGGCGCAGGGACGCGGCCAGCTGACCGGCCCCGAGAGCGCCGCCCACGTACCCGATGCAGCGGCGGCACCGACGACCACGAGCTCACGGCCACGTAGCGTCGGTAGCGCACCCAGTGGCGGCGGCGCACGCACGAGGTGAACCGCTTCTGCGCCGAGAACGTGGCCGGAAAGTCGACGGCGTACGTCCAGCCCTCGGTCTCCAGCGGCGTGCCGTCCAACGTGCCGTCGACCACCCACGGACCTGGCGGCCGGCACGAGGCACCGTCAGCGGACGCACGCGCCGCCCGGCCCGGCCGCAGGCTGCCACGCCGCGTCACCAGCCACGCCTCGCTGCGTGCACAGGTCCCGTGTGGCTGATGTGGCTGACGTGGCTGACGGGTGGGCACTGGCCGGACCGGGCGGGATACCGACGTCAGACTGACGCAAGTGTCTGGTATGACATGAGTAGATGTGAAAGATGTAGACTGTTGTGTTCCCTTTTTGCTAAAATGTTGTTACCTTTTTCCCAAAATGTTAGCATAGGCATGGTGGCCAAAAACTGAAAGTTCCTCACCTTCCCACTGCCATCCAAGTGAAGGGAGGCAGATCCCATTAAACTCTCTGCATTCTGTTCCATCTTTGGAAGAGTAATGAGGCCTATCCGTAGCCAAAAGCTTCGAGCAGAAGCCATCAATGGGATTCCAACGCTGTAAGAAAAGTAGACAAGTCAATCAGGATGAATGTGAGTCATTAAATGAACACAAATCAAGGGGGAGTAAAGATTATTTGCTCAAAACTCAAGTGATGCACTTTGTGAAGTCCATGCAATAAATGCTTAGGGAGAGGAGACTTATTTCTACAGGAATCTATGCAACATTCAACAGCTTAAACAATGTTTGAACATGAACCTGGAGCTCCTGGTGACAATGTTTTCCCAAATTAATGCCCATTTAAATGCATTTACAGTCCAATGATATCATACTATTCTGAAATGCAGGTGCCTTAATCACCTGACACCAAAATCAGATAATGATGCCATCTGGGACAGGTGAACAAAGACAAATGGGCTTCTGAGCTTACCTGATTCTCATAGGTGTCCACTTTGACTCTTATGGGGTTTTCCAGCCCATATACATAGACATACACCTGCTGGTCACTCCCAATTGCCCATATGCTGTTCTGTGATGCAGAGATCTTTTTAAACTCCACACCTAAATAGGGCAGTTGTTCCCATTGGGATGATGTGGTAGGCAAGTGGTACATCTTGCCCAGTACATCAAGACAGAATAGTGAGGTGGGCATGGCTGGCTTCTGAGTGGCTGGACCTCAGTTTGGTACAGATAGTGGAAGGAATACCAGGGCAGCGAGCTTCAGCTAAAAGAGGTCAGCTGCAGGCTACTTGCATACTTGTTGGTATATGAATCTTGCATAAGTATCAGAGGTGGCTCTCATATGCATACAAAAATTCCTGAAACACAGAGACTCTTTTTTAGTCAAACAAGTAAGCATCACTTGTATCAGGTGAATGATAGGTATGAAATCAATGGCACAAAACTCAACATGCATCATGCCAGAATGCAAGCCCAAACAGACAAGTATTATGTCTATTTGTTATTGTGAGATACTACAAGCTGTTATATCTAACATCAGAAGCACCAGGTAAAATTATTTAAGCAAGAGTTTTTACATGAAGCTGAGAATGAGGCAATGTAGAATAACAACTGATATATACATATATGATTTATTTGCAACCTCCTTACTGTCATTCAGGATAAAGGGTGACAGACTTCCAAGTTAATATAATAAGATGTTCTTATGATATTCTATGATTATTTGATTTTCCATGTCTTAAAAAACTTTAATTGGTATACAACTTTTTCCTCCAACATGTAGTTTCAAAGCAAATAGTATGCAACCAAAACAGCACTCATGACTTAGGCACCAATTAACATGGGTTTTTAAACTTAAAACAAATCTAACTCTTAATACTGGAACAGTTCTGTACTCTGCTTGATTCCTTTCACGAGCCTTCCAAGTTATCTCATGGAGGACTTCGCTTTCTCATCCAAACTTTGTTTACTGATGGGCTGACTAGGCATTCCACAACCCTTCCTATTGCATTTGCACAACCCTTCCTAATGCATTTGCACAACCCTTCCTATCACATCTGCACAACCCTTCTCCTTTACTTACACAACCCTTATTACATCTACACAAATCTTCCCATCAAATTTGCGCAACCCTTCCTGTCCAAAAAGACAGTCAACAGCTCCACTGCAATAATTGCATGCAGCGAACGCTCGACATACAAAATGTGGAATTACGAAGGTTCGTCACCCAAACGACATCCTATAATGCGCTGCTGTGTTCTTGACCTTCCTGCCGACGATGTTTGCGGAGGGAAAAGCGTCGGCTTAGGTCTGTAATGAGGACCGACTAATCAGCTGACGAACCGTCGCTGCCAGGCTGAGTAAATCATCCCAATGACAAGTTTTGTGCTCATCATGACGTCACTGGTAGAAATGTGGAAAATCGACTTCTTTTACTTCTCACAATATCACAATGATTCACAAGCCACTTACGATGACAATATTGAAAAGCAAGCAGGCATTCGTAATAACACGTGTCCTGTATCCCAATGATGACGTCACTGGGACGAATAAATTGGTATTCAGTTGAAACTTTCAGTGGGACACGTTTCTCGGGCTGTGTTTTCCCGCTGCTCACGACGTTCCGGGAGACTGTTACGGTGTGCGTGCATCTATCTACGTACTCGTGGTTTACATTCTTATGCCATTTGAAAAATGAATTGCGTTTTACCTACTGCTCATGGCGTCACGTGACGCGAGTTACGGCCTTCGTTTTGTATCACTAGGGAACCTGATAATGGCGGAAGACCACCTTTCCCAGCAGGCTTCCTTAAGAAACTTCTGCAAGTAGGTCCAAGAAATCCATGAAAAACTGCATTCAGACTTGTCCACACTAAGTTGCCAATAGGGCCGGAAAAAGGCATGACCTGACTCAACGTTTTCGGCTACCGGCTTTACCTGTCCCTAACAGACATTCCAAAATAGTGTCTATCGGTGCAACCACTGGCGGACACCATTTTGACACGATTTAGACGGCAATGGTTTCTCCAAGACTTGAAACGCGGGTTCCGTGAGTGTTATGGCACCCTCGCCATTAAACACTCTGAGAATGTATGTAGAGCATTGACGTTATGACAATGGATGGGAAGAATCGACTATAATATGAGTGCAAGCACCTTTGCTTTCTGAGACGTTCCTCCGTCTATGTTTTGGGTGCCAACGCCAGACCTCGTATTACATTGGCAGCTCAACTCTCCAGTTTACTTTCCGGCCTTCTGCTATGAACTCTGCAATTTCAATGCGTCACGTTGCTGTGCTGCGTTTGGAAACGATTGCAGGGTGTTTGAAATTATTCCTGAACAAAATTCCTTTTAGGTAAGTCCACTTCGAGTCAATAGTATGTATATGGCCGTTGATGGACATAATCGCAGTGCTTACCTTTCGGCCGTCAGCCTTATACACCCACTTCAAACGTGCCAATTTACTTTCAATCGATGGAACTATCAACAACACCATTTGAAGAAAGCGTTTCACATGAACAGACCATGCTGGCGGCCGATGCGTAAAGAGCTGTGTTTTAAGCCTATCACCGGCCCCATTGGAAGCTCTTGTTCTATTGTGTGCTTGTTGGGATAAGTACTGCCTTTCCACGTGTCATATGCGATCGTTGGACTTGATTTCTCATGATATATACATTTAGCCGCATGCACACCGTGTTTCACGCTCGAAGGCTCGTGTGGGTATTGCGTAGGCCTTAACGCACGCTCTGGTTATGTGCCCTGGAGGCCGTGGTACTGTCCGTGAAAAGCTAACCGGTGCTAGAATATTTCAGATGCTGTCTGAACAGCTTTACAATGATGTTCACTTGTCGCTGCACCAATGGAAACTATATTGACACGTTTGAAATGGACAAATGATACTGGCGGCCGAAACGTAAAGAGTCCGCTCATACCTATCACCGGTCCTATTGTTAACTCTGCTTCTCTGGTGCGATCGTTGGGATGTATGCTGCTTTTCCGCGTGTCAAATGTGAACGTTGGACTTGATTTTTCAGGTAAACGTACCTTTCATGGTATATACATTTAGCCGCATGCACACCGTGTTTCACGCTCGCAGGCGTGTGGGTATTGTTTAGGTCCTAATGCACGCCCTGGCCATGTGCCCAATAGGCCGTGGTGCTGCCTGTGAACAGCCCACCGGGGCTAGAATATTTCAGATGCCGTTTCTAAACAGCTTTAGAATGATGTCCCGGACATCATCATACAATGATTGTGTGCATAGTTTTGAAATGGTATTGTTAGTGATATCATCAATTTAAACTATACTGGCACGTTTGAAATGGCCAGACAATGGTAGCGGCCGAGACGTAAAGAGTCCACTTATGTCTATCAACGGCCACTATTGGTAGCATCGATTGAACTGATTTCAATGCAAGTATATTCATGAATCATTTGGACCTCCAGTACTTTCTAAATGTAGAAAATCTAGGCCACGGAGTGAAGTTAGACATTTCATGGCAGGCGGTCGTAATGGAAATGAGTATTGGTTCAAAATGGTGATTTGGCGACGGGCGCTACCAACCGGAAGTTGACTTTGTTATTCATTTTTCTGTACTGACGTAGCGTTTTCTCCGTTTTGTAATGTGTGACCAACGCGTTTTATGGTATGTGCACATAACCGCATACAAACCTTGTATCAGGCTTGCAGGCGGTAAGGTACTGCGTTGGCCTTATCGCAAGCTGTGGCTTTGTGCCCAACAGGTCATGGTGGGCCTCGAGGAATAATCTACCGAGGCTACAATGCTTTCAGGGTCCTGACCATGATATCCGACGTAATGCCCAGGCTGTGAGGTATTACGTCGGATAACTGGGCCCATGGCACGCTGCTCCTATTTACCCAGCTAGCAGCGCTGGTCCCCGGGGATAGCCCGCCAACAAGAATATATGAATTGTCATTTAGACAGTTTTGGGAAAGTGTCGGCTAGTGATTTCACTGATGGAAACTGAAATGACACGCTTGAAATCGGCAGATAATGCTGACGGCCGAATGGTAGAGTCTGCTCATACCTATCATATTGTCAACTCTGCTTCTCTTGTGTGCTCGTTGGGATGTGTGCTTCGTCTCAACGTGTCATATGTGACTGTTGGACTTGATTTTTCAGGTGAATATACCTTTCATGGTAAATATATTTAGCCGCATCCACACCGTGTTTCACGCTCGGAGGCTCTTGTGGGTATTGCGTAGACATTAACGAATGCTCTGGTTATGTGCCCTGGATGCCATGATACTGCCCGTGAAAAGCTAACCGGGGCTGGAATATTTCAGATGCCATTTAAACAGTTTTAGAATAATGTACACTAGTTGTTGCACCGATGGAAGCTATACTGACATGTTTGAAACAAGTAGATAGTGCTGGCGGCCGAAACGTAAAGAGTCCGCTCATGGCTATCACCGGCACTATTGGTAACTCGGAGTGGACTTAGCTCAATAACGTTGTGCCCAGGAATCATTTGGAGCACCTTGCAGTAGTTTATAAATGCAGAAAAGCTATCCCATGCAGTGAAATTCGAGATTTCACATGAGACGGTCGGATGATAAATGGAAGTGCTTGGCTTGAAAGGTAATATGTGGACTGGCGCTGCGTGCCGAGACTTAGGCAGAGAAACGGCTCAAAAAGAGATGCCGCCCGTACTCATTTTGCATTTATTTTTTTCATTGGTTGCCATGGGGTAAATGTCAACAGTTTTGGAAAGGGGGTGGGGGCGGGGTGCTATGAAACGTAGACATACCACCTTTCTACGCTAGCAGCCCAAAAGGCACAACGTGATTGATTCCCTCGTCCCAAATGTGTTGGCTTCTCTCTCATGTCATGCGTGACTATTGCACTAGATTTTTGAAACAAACACATGTTTCATGACATTCACATATAGCTGCATGCGAGCCTTATGTCATGCTCACAGGCGCGTAGGTATTGCGTCGGCCTGAACGTACACTGTGAGTTTGTGCCTAGTAACCAGTGTTTGTCCGCGGTAGTAATCTGCCGAGCGATGCATATCGCATTTGTTCTCTGAGAATTTTAAAACGATTTCAACATCATTCAACATCATTCAGAATTGCGTGTTGCTCAGTGCATTAGCGAGGAACACTACTCACATAGATAAGAAAGTAGAATTGGCCTTATTCCTCGGAGAAAAACCAGGACAATGGGGATATAGTTCGGTTGATAATTCGGCAGCATGCTATATCAGCAACATATAAACAAGGACAACGCAATACCTAACCGCCTGCGAGCCTGACACAGGGTTTGTGCGCGGTTATCTGTATATACCACAAAACGTGTTGGTCACGCATTACAAAACGGAGAAAACGCTACGTCAGTACAGGAAAATGAATAAGAAAATCCACTTCCGGCTGCTAGCGCCCGTCGCCAAATCACCACTTCGAACCCATACTCATTTCCATTACGACCGCCTGCCATGAAATGTCCAATTTGACTCCATGACCTAACTTTGCTACATTTAGAAAGTACTGGAGGTCCAAATGATTCATGAGTAAACTTGCACTGACATCTGTCCAATGGATGCTAGCAATAGTGGTCGTTGATAGACATCAGCGGACTCCTTACGTTTCGGCCGGTGCCATTGTCTGTCCATTTCAAACGTGCCAGCATAGTTTAAATCGATGATATCACTAGCAACATCATTTTAAAACTGTGCATATAATTTCGCTATCATAATGGAGATAGTGGACCCATCCTTCCCGAACAAAATGCCATTTGGTTGTGCCCACTCGGAGTTAGCAATAGGGCCGATGATACGCGTAAAGTGAACTCGTTACGTTTCGGCCGCCAGTATCATTTGTCCATTTCAAATGTGTCAATGTAGTTTTCATCGGTGTAACGGCTAGTGGACATCATTCTAAAGCTGTTTAAACGGCGTCTGAAATATTCTAGCCCCGGTTAGCTTTTCACGGGCAGCACCACGGCCTATTGGGCACATAGCCAGAGCGTGCGTTAAGGCCTACGCAATACCCACACGCCCCGGAGCGTGAAACACGGTGTGCGTGCGGCTAAATGTATACACCATGAAAGGTACGCTTACCTGAAAAATCAAGTCCAACGGTCACATTTGACACGCGGAAAAGCAGCATACATCCCAAAGAGCGCACCAGAGAAGCAGAGTTAACAATAGTTAACTAATGAGCAGAGTTAACTAAAGCAGAGTTGTAAAAAATAAT